TTTTTAATAAGTCATGTCTTTTGTTGATGGTCCTTTGCAAGCTACTGCAATATATGAACAAAAAATTATATTCTCAATTCTTAATGCCATCATTGGTTTTTGTAGGCAATCTGGTACAGTAGTGGTGGCACAAAATCTCTGTTTTCATTGACATTCCGTGATGAAATAGTTTGTGTATTACGTGGCAGAAATGAATATTTAATGGTGCCTTACATGAATTACAGAGATCGAGTGAGTATTTAAATCTTTCACCTTAACAGTTAGAAAAATTTCTGCTTTTGGAATGCATGCTTGCCAAGCTGCAAAGTTTGGGTATGTGTGGGGAACGCGCAATAATTTTGTCCTTGGAAATTTAGATTAATCCGCGAAATTGCAGCATGGACTTTCGTGCAAATCTCGTGCATAGCCTCACCGCGAGGCTTACAGATGCTATTTGAAAGTAAAATCCTGCAGCTTTAAACCTGCTACTTTGCAATATGATTTTGTTCTTGCCCGATTGTAAGCGGCAACAAATCATTCCCCGTGCACAGTAGGGTAAATGAACTTCAAATTATTACAAAAAAATTTCTCAGTTTCTCCCTCTAGTTAATATTCAGTTTAAAGCACAAAATGTCTCCTTTAAGCCATCACCTTAATATTTCTTGATAATAGGAATAAAAACGACAAATAAAAAAGTTGTGCGTATTGCACACCATAGCAGGTGCAAAGAAATCAAGACGTGCGAAACGCCACACCCGGCCTATTTTCATGTTACAAAGACTGTTAAAAATAAGAATCTGTCTAGACTTTCCCAAAGTCTATGTTTTGTTAAATCCGTAAGGCATTCGTACTACTGCGAGGACATATCTAAACTGCGCAGGAGACGCCCTTTCGAAATACAAATGCCTTAAGCCCAATCTCCAGTGAGAAAAAGTCTTGCGAAATTTCGCTGCGAAATACTTCACGCGACAAATTCCTTTGAATGCTTTTGTTGACCTCACGACATTGGAATGTAAAGTTTGGAAGCGTGGCAAAGGAATACGGAATATCACTGGCTGTTGAAAGATTTCGCAAGCGAAAAGCGAAAAAAGTTAAACTCATTTTAACTTTTTTCCGCAGAGAAATTCTTCGCGAGAAATCCCAGCAAAAGATTACTGCGCATGCCTAAGACGTAATTCGCGCGAACTTTTTCGCATTTCGCAGTTTTTTTTCTCACTGGAGATTGGGCTTTACGGGGTTAACAAAAATCGACTTTGGGAAAGTCTAGAATTTATCATACTTTTGAAAACTTAAGTTGTTTTGATGCGAAAAACTTGTGCGAGAGGCAAAGCAATCTGATCTTCATAGGTTCTTTCATACAAATGGGCCTAGCTAAGTGCCCTTGCTAAAAGTTGTTGTGTTTCAGCAGAAGGCTTTGGGCCTAAGGAAGATTTTATTGGGTGTCTCATCAGTTGCTAACATTATATGCATTCGTCCGTTTTAGATTTCTTATTCAAGTTTATAATATTACCTTTTTGTCAGAATTGTATCATGCTAGTGAAGTGCCTTGTCTTTTTCTTTTTTAGTTTCATTTTTCCGTATATTCTTATTCTTGACATAAACGAACAGTTTGCAATACAACCACGGCAGTTTTGGAAATGGTTATTACTAGATAAACTTGATATTAGATTTTAATGTCAAATGCCAATAATATTGTTCAATGCATCATTTCAGTCAAAAATTGCTGCTTATTCCTGAAGTTCACTTTTTCTATTCCCTAAGGTTCTTTTACGACACTCTGTAAAACTTCTGCAGTCGAGTGAATGCATATTTCTTGCTGTCTTTAAACGAACTCGTGCTTTGATTTTTTAGTTCACGGAAATTAAGGATGAAGCAGGAATCCGTGGCATTGATGTCGATAGGTAAGTCAGAATAACATCTTACTTGTCCTTGATGCCCCCCCCCCCCCCCCTGTGACAGTACTTCGAGTCGCGTTAGGATTCAGACGAAGAAGACTTCATAGTTTCTCACATTTTCTTGATTATTAAAAAGCTCCTTTCACTACAAAATCAATCTATTTATCTTCTTTAAAACGGAAATGCTAGATACAATGGTTGAGTGACAGTTGGCTACTACGCATACATACATTAAATACTTACATGGGGAAGAGGTTACAGAAGTATACAGCGATCCTGTTACAGTCCACCCCTCGTTGGCAAAAAAATTAGAAACTTGTTTATAATTTTTTTTTATACAATACGCGAAAACGAATTGCAGATTATGTAATGTCCATTATGATTGTTTGGTTATTTTTACGAAAATTAACGACATATCCGATAGAATACTTCTTGATTAAGCGATATAACGTAAGTACCTCCGTGCAGTCCTCCTTCGAGTTGGAGGTATGGGCACGATTTTACAAGACCTCTAAGACGACCATTACGTGCAAGCACTTCCCGAGCGGCGGGAAAATGCTCGTAAACAAACTTACATGCCTGGGAAGATATAGCAGATT